ATCGAATAAGTATTCACTTGATGCGGTGGACAAACCTCTACAAGTTTTGCAGCTGAGACACTATAATTAACTTCATTCCAAGCCCTCGCAGGCAAGAAAGGTTGTTGGTTGCTCTTTGTGAAGGTACGTTGAATTGTGGCAATACATCATAGGGAAGTTTTGTTATTTGTGTACATACCTTATTGTGTTTTGTTTGCAGGATTTTGGTGAAGATTCGGAAGGACTTCATGTTGTTCAGGAGCACATAAAGTCCCATTAATTATAAAATATTCGGCCCCATTTTGGTTTGGGTTCGATTACTCCTTGAGCATGCTATTGGTTATTTTAGCAGAACGTTGAGGATTACCCGATGAAATATACAATTTCGTAACCTTATTTTTTCAAGTGAAAATGATTCAACGACGGTGTAACATGCTTAGTTGAATTATTGATTATCTCTATTAACTAATTTTTAAAAATATTAAGGATACAAAGTGGCTTTCGATTCAATAGTCGACATAAGCATATTTCACTTTGTCTATTAGTAGGCAGTAACAATCAATTTCAACAAAACCAAGGTTTTCTTCCTAATCAACACATTTAAATCTGACCGAATCAACAAATCTAATCTTTGATAATAATGATTTAGGTGCATCATCTTTGCGCTCAAGATTTCGAGTTTGTTTATCCTCGTTCTACGTCGCATATACATGTAGACACATTTTTTGCAATCTCTGACCAACTTCTAAAAACTTGCAGTATTCGACTAACAATATAATTCAAGATTCTCATTTGAACATAACATAAAAGCTACCGTGCATTACAAATGTGAATTAAGCAAATTAGTCCAAGTGGTGTACCCGCCTTCTTGTACCCAAGTTCATATTTGTATTCTAAACATCGTTCAATAAACAACAACAACAACAAAGCTTTTTCCCACTAAGTGGGGTTGGCTATATGAATCCTAGAACGCCATTGCGCTCGGTTTTGTGTCATGTCCTCCGTTAGATCCAAATACTCTAAGTTTTTTCTTAGGGTCTCTTCCAAAGTTTTCCTAGGTCTTCTTCTACCCCTTCGGCCCTGAACCTTTATCCCGTAGTCACATCTTCGAACCGGAGCGTCAGTAGGCCTTCTTTGCACATGTCCAAACCCATTTTGTGTACGTGTTGATGCTTCACCGCCCAACATTCTGTGCCATACAGCATCGTCGGCCTTATTGCCGTCCTATAAAATTTTCCCTTGAGCTTTAGTGGCCTACGACAGTCACACAACACGCCGGATGCACTCTTCCACTTCATCCATCCAACTTGTATTCTATGGTTGAGATCTCCATCTAATTCTCCGTTCTTTTGCAAGATAGATCATAGGTAGCGAAAACGGTCGCTCTTTGGTATTTCCTGATCTCCGATCCTCACCCCTAACTCATTTTGGCCTCCATTTGCACTGAACTTGCACTCCATATATTCTGTCTTTGATCGACTTAGGCGAAGACCTTTAGATTCCAACACTTCTCTCCAAAGGTTAAGCTTCGCATTTACCCCTCCTGAGTTTCATCTATCAACACTATATCGTTTGCGAAAAGCATACACCAAGGAATATCATCTTGAATATGTCATGTTAACTCATCTATTACCAACGCAAAAAGGTAAGGACTTAAGGATTGTTGATGCACAAAATCAGTGAGGACTTTGGTACAACAGAAAGTATTAAGTTTGTGATCTTCGCTGGATTGCTCTGGTCATTAGTGTGGATAAGTATGTAAATGGATAGAGACAGGAAAGCAAACACAAGATGTACGTGGTTCACCCAGATTGGCTACGTCCACGGAGTAGAGGAGTTTTCATTAATTGTGAAGGGTTTACACAAGTACATAGGTTCAAGCTCTTCTTTAGTGAGTACAAGTGAATGATTTAGTACAAATGAATGATTTAGTGAGTACAAGTGAATGATTTAGTACAAATGACATAGGTTCAAGCTCTCGTCTTCACTTGACTTATCTGTCTCATAGGTAGATGTGGCATCTTCTCTAGAAGTACTCTTCCTCCATCCAGGGGTGGTATCTTTAACTGGTGGAGATGCACAAGGTAATGTATCAATTTCACTTGAAGCTTACTTGTAGTTTCAGGCTTGGTCAAGCGCGATACAAACCATGTAGTAGGAGTCCCCCAAGTCGCTGAGCTAGGGGATCTGCTGAAAGAGGCGACAGACAAGGTAAGCAATCAGAGCTCCAAGCAATCAGTCATAGATCAGATTTGTATTCTAAACATCGGTCAATAAAGGAAAGAAAAAAAAATATATTTATTTTTGTACAACAATATTTCTTACTAAAAAGATAATATTTTATTAAAATCGTCGTTCATAAAAATCAAATATAATATATCTCGCACACATGAAAATAAACACAATTAAACCAGAACACTAGTGGTCATGCCAAGTTTAAATACACAATTAAAAGGAAAAATGAGAAAAAGGGCAGTATAGTAATTACCCAGTGATGGGTTTAGGGTTCATGTAAGTTGCAACATATAAGGCCTCCCGCCGTCGTCTCCCCATTCATTTATCTTGCAAGTGCAGCTCTCAGATCTTTACCTCGCCGCAATCATCTTCAAAGGTTAGCCATTACCTCTCTCTGCTTCCGATCACATTTTCTCCTTGTTTAAATTTGACAACTATATCTCCCAATACAAGTTCTGTTTGGCCGCTGACAAAAATTTAATCCAAAATTGAAATTAAAAATCTGAAAATTTGATGGGCAATTTGATTTCAGTGTGTTTATCATGAAAGCTACTGAATTTTTCCCAAAATTCGAAGTAACATCTTAATATCTGAGAATTTTAGCACTAGACAGAAGGGTTATATTGTTTTGCAGGTATTTTATTTTTTATAGATTTCAGTAGTGGAGCTTGCAAGTCTGGTAATTGTATATTTCACTGAAATATTTTATCTGGCTGACATCCTTTTTGTTAATTTCGTGTTACCAGGGTTTGTAATTTCAACCGGCCCCGAAAAATGTCAGGGTATGTAGACAATTGTATTTCTGATTCTATATACTCGTTTTTCCGCTTTACATGTGAAATGCTTATGATAATGGAGGATATATATGTTTTTTTAGAGATCAAGTTTGACATTGATTACTTGGCCCGAGCAGTAGTGTAGATTTATGTTTTGTACTGGTGCATTTCTGTTCTCCAATTTGTTACATATCGAAATGATGGCACCCGGTATTAGTCTAGTTATGCAAGAGAGGGGTTAGGTATCCAGATTTTCAGAATGCGAAATGCCTATAGGAGCCTTTCTGTTTCAAACTGTGGGAACGTCGTCGATGAGTTTGCGAAAGCTTAATTTAATTGTATGTTTTAGCTTTTGTGTTTCTGATACAAGGATTGGTGCTCTTGTTCTACATTTGTATTTCTACTCCGTACTTGTTTTCACTTACTGGTCTGTCCGATAGTGGGATATGGCAGTCTATCATACGCGTTCTCTATTTCTTTTTCCCTTTTTTTTTTGGTCAAACGACGCTTCTTTTATTTCTCAGTTTGATACTTGGTATGTTTTTGGTGTGTAATGTGTGGTATGGCAGCGTGCCTAATGTTACTCCATTTTATTGATTGTACAGAGAAGAAGAGGTCGCTGTTCCTATTGCTGAGCCTGTTGCTGCTGCTGCAGCTCTAGGCGAACCCATGGACCTTCTGACCGCACTGCAACTTGTGCTGAGGAAGTCATTGGCTCATGGTGGGCTCACTCGTGGACTCCACGAAGGTGCAAAGGTCATCGAGAAGCACGCTGCACAGCTCTGTGTTGTAGCTGAGGACTGTGACCAGGCTGATTATGTTAAGCTTGTTAAGGCTCTATGCGCTGATCATAACGTCAAACTAATGTCAATTCCTAGTGCGAAAACTCTTGGAGAATGGGCTGGTGTAAGTGAAAATGAATTGACTAATAGAAGTTTTGTTTGTTTTAGTTCTTGCCTCAGAGTAACTATTTTCATGTGTTAGACATATAGTTTGTTTGGATTTTGCCTTCTACTTATTGTTAATTTTGTACTGTCTTCTCGCAGCTTTGCAAGATTGATTCCGAAGGAAAGGCAAGAAAGGTTGTTGGTTGCTCTTGCGTCGTTGTGAAGGTATTCATAGCATTCAATTGAGTGCATGCTCTTAGTACCACCAATTTGATTATGCCTTGTATTCTGTTTGTTTACTTACCTTATCGCGTTTGTTCTGCAGGATTTTGGCGAGGAATCGGAAGGCCTCCATGTTGTTCAGGAGCACATTAAGTCCCATTAAATTTGAAAAGAGTCTGCCCCATGTTGATTTGGGTTTGATGCTCATTAGGTCCCAAACTTGTAGAAGTGGAATTGAGTAACTATCCTTTCCGATTATCAAAACATTCGATATTTTTTTCGGTCTTTTACCTCTGTTCTTAAATGATGAAATTTTCCGTGTGGTTTTGTTATTAGATTTGCGTTTTTATTACTCGTTGATCATGCTATCGGTTATTTCAGTAGCACGTTGTGTATCACCCGATAAGACTTTACAGTTTTGTAGCTTTGCCCTACCAAATTGAAAATGGATCATCGCCGGTGTAGATGATTCAATTGTTTCGATGGGCGATGCTTTAAAAGAAAAGTATCCTCCGTAATGCCCAAATTGGAAAACATTGGTTTTGGAGAATTGACTATTTGCATTCGAGGTTTTGAGTTTAAAGTCTATCGGTCACCAATGGACCAATCTTAGGAACGAGGAATTTGTACGGCTATTCTCGAAAGTTGAATTTAAGATATTTTACTTATAAATGAAAAGAAAATAACTAGACCGCAAGGTTGAATTTAAAACCTTTTATTTATAAATAATAAAAATAAATAAAAAAACCACTGGACCGCATTTTAAATGACGGAGAAAGATCAAAATTTAAATGCGCATGTGAATTTACGACAGCTAAGGCCCATCCCATACAATTTACTGGTATGTTTGGGCTTCGGCCCACCGTTGTACCCTAAACATAAAACCCTAAATGACAAGGATAACATAGTAATTTTGTACGAGTGTTTTAGGGTTTATGTATATTCCATGTGAGTTATAAGCGCCACCGCCGGTCTCACTCGCCTTCTCCTGCAGGTTTTCGATCTTCACCTCCCAACCACCGTCAAGGTCAGCGCTTACCTCTCCGTTCAATTCCGTTCTCTTCTGATTTAAATTTTGCAATTATATTTCGGTTAAGAAGCTGTTTGTGGCAGATGAGAATTTTAATCCAAAATTAAAAACGGAAATACAAAAAATGATTAGGGTTTAGGACTTGTGTAAAATCTGAAACTTGGTTTCTTTGGGTTTTCACGAAATCTACAAAGTTTCTTTGGGAATTCGAGGTTAAAATCTCATGTCTGAGCCTTTGAACACTATACTTTACATCAAGTTTGATTTTTTATGATTTATTTTGCAGATTTTTATTGGTATAAGCTTGTTTAGATTTCAGTATTTGAGCTTGCAAGTCTGGTAATTGGTTTCACCGAAGCTTTTAATTTGCTGACATATCATTTGTTTTCTCATGTCATCAGGGCTTTTCATTTCAATCGACCAGAAAAATGTCAGGGTATGTGGACATTTTATTTTCCGGTTCTCTGTACTCGTGTTTCGCTCTACATATGGAATATTTGTTATAGAAGGGATGCATATTAGTTTTAGAGATTAATGTGTGATCCCGATTTGTTGTCCTGAGTAGTAGTTCAATTTATCTTTTGCACCAATGAAGTGCCTTTAACAGGTTTTGTTACAAACCAAATTGAGGGGACACACTATTAGAGTAGTTCTGTGAGAGCAATGGGGTTAGGAACTTAGGAGCTTAGAATCTTAGAATGCACGGTGAACTGCTGAGTTGGTTATTTGCTTGTAGGGCCATTTGGTTTCGACCATGGGTGCATGTCATGGCTTTGAGGTTGGTGCTTTTGTTCTGAATTCAATGTTGTATGTGTATGTTCTCCCATTAAAGAAATATAAGAAGCCTTTGTGAGCTGAATGTTGGGTTGAGTCTTTTTTCTTTGGTAACCTTAGGATTTGAGGTTTCACTCTGGAATTTGTTTCTTCGTTGTTCCATTAGTTTAGCGTTTTACTGGCCGGATATGCTTGCATTCTACACTCTATCTTAAGCATTTTTTCTCAGTTAATGACATTCTTTATATACATTCGGTGCATTATGTCTAATCTTACTTTCAATATATTGCTTGTACAGAGATGAAGAAGTTGCTGTTCCTGTTGAGCCTGTTGCAGTTGCTGCAGCTCTAGGTGAACCAATGGACCTTTTGACAGCCTTGCAACTTGTGCTGAGGAAGTCATTGGCTCATGGTGGGCTCACTCGTGGACTGCACGAGGGTGCAAAGGTCATTGAGAAGCATGCTGCACAACTCTGCGTTGTAGCTGAGGACTGTGACCAGGCTGATTATGTTAAGCTGGTCAAGGCACTATGTGCAGATCATAATGTTAAGCTTATGTCAATTCCTAGTGCTAAAACCCTTGGAGAATGGGCGGGTGTAAGTAAAACGAATTGACATAAAGTAGTTTTTTGTTTGTTTTAATTCTTTCCTCAAACGTAATTATTTTCATTTGTTCATCGTTTAGTTTGTTCCGATGTTTTCAACTATCTTTCTCTCGGCTCCTTTTCTCGACTTTCTCAGTAGCTCCATATTTAATCAGTTTTGTGTTAGTTGTCCAATAAACTAAAATTGTCCATCAATTTACTATTCAATTGATGGCTTATGTTGCTGGCGGGTAAACTGGGGACAGTCTTTAAAGGGTTTCTAATATTCAAACTCTGCCATGTTTTCTATCTTTTAGTTTGGCATATTAATTTTGGGATCTGCTATTAGCACTCCAAAGATCTTACACTCCTCACAAGCGTATTTTTCTTTCTAAATTATAGAAAGTTTGGAGTGCCAAATGATATTTTAGGAGTGCTAATAACAATTCCCTTATTTTTTTCTCTTCTTGCTTTCCATACTTATGGATTTTTTCTTGAACATATTGTTAATTTTATACTGTCTTCTCACAGCTTTGCAAGATTGATTCAGAAGGAAAGGCAAGAAAGGTGGTTGGTTGCTCCTGTGTTGTTGTGAAGGTATTCAGAATACTTATTTGAGTGCGTGAATTTACTTCATTTCCGGTGTTATTTTTTGTAGTTGTGTCCCAAAAAAAAAACGATTTTCTACTTATTTTCCATTCATGCCAAATTTGATTATTCCTTGCATGGTGTTTGTTCACTTGCCTTATTGCATTATTTCGTTTTGCAGGATTTTGGTGAAGAATCGGAAGGTCTTCATGTTGTTCAGGAGCACCTCAAGTCCCATTAAATTAAAAACGTTTTGATTTCGGCCTGATGTTCTTTAGGTGCTTGGTTATGATATCAGTGGTATGTCCCAATCATATAATACTGCGACTTCGTTATAAGATTTTGATTTCAGCATGATATTTCAGTACGCCCGAAAGAATTTTACAATTTTGTAACTGTTTTTTCTTCAAATGAAAAACTATCGTTGTCTTAAACGTGCTTGATTGGGTTATTTGAGGTTGAAAACAAATCTTAGATGCCATTATATGCTAGAGTGCAACGCTCTTTTGTGGACCATGAAGAAGCTGATGAGCCTCATGTTTGTTATCTTCATGGTTTTTGTGTTTCCCCTTCCCAATTATATTTAAATCCCTGCCACAAATCTAGGTGAAAACAGACCCTGTGATTTATGGAATTTAGTTGTGGTCCATAAAAAGCAATGTTATATCCTGGAATGGTCAGTCTAGTGGCTCTCAGGCATGCCTGTTTGTGTACCACATTTGCTTTCAACCACCCTTCTTGTATATATCGGTTCCATAAACTCTTGGTATGACTCATCATGCCTAGAGATGTGACTTTTAACGAGAAGCGATAGCGAGAGAATCGAGTTTTTTGTTGCCTATGTATTGTTTAATATAGGCCTAGTATTTAAGATTAGATTGGAATCGATAACTCATCATATTCAACGTATGTTAAAGGAAGAAGTGAAATTTTTTTGTCCGACTTGACGGTAGAGAGGTGTATTGCACATTAAGCAAACTTATCATTCTAACTCTTCTAAAGAGATAAGTTTTTTTCATGATTAATTCATTCGTATTGAAAAATCATTTCCTTATCAAGCGTTTTTTGACGAGACATGATAGAAATTTTTCTTAAAAATTTAAGTATTTCATAGAAAAGCGGGTTTTGGAGAAGCACCCCACACTTTCAAACATAACTATGGACAAGGATTTTGAGAGGGTACCCCAAAAGTTCATAAATGTAAAATTCGCAGTATAGCTACCGTTACACGAGATGGTACACCACATATTCCTATATAAATTGTGGGTTATATGTGTTAAAAGGTTAATAGCTTAAAAATTAAAATTTTCTACCACTTGCATAAAAACACGTGATGTGCTATCTGTTTTCCCGTTACAACTAAAAATTTCTCGTACAGCTATAAAGCCTATCCCTTGAAAGATGGTGTTCAAGCTTTTACATATCCAATGGAAGAAGAAAGAGAACTTTGCTTTTGCAAGTTGCCACAACAAATAACGAAGTGTGGCCTAAAACCGAGAGAAACGTTTCGGTTTCGGCCATGCTCTTCTGACAAAACCCAATCGTCTCCTGTTTTGGAATCACCACCACTCCTCCCATTCTTCCATGTGGAAAGGAAAGCCTACAAGGGTAAGGAACTCAATCTGGTTGTTAAGATAAATTTTTCATTGAAACCAGAACACGAGTGCTACATCACGTGTTATTATATAAGTGGTGGAGATTTTTTATATTAAGTTATTTATTTTTTAACATAAGTATCTCACCATTTGTATAGTGATATATAATGTATCATCCCGTGTTCCAGATATGCTGAAAAATTTCTCATTTGTTACACAAACCCTAGCCAACTGCAAATTAGCAGTCAATGGGAGCCCCATAAATAAAAGATAATGTTATATAATTTGGAGGTAAATTGAGGTTGCTAAGAGAGCATATATTTTGTTAGTTTTTTTTTTCTAGGAGTGTGATATTCACACACCCCATTTTACTTTTCACACACATTTTTAATTTTCGGTTGTCCGATCGGATGAATTGAATAAGATCTAACGGACATAAATTATCAAGGGGTGTGTGAAAAATAAAATAGGGTGTCTGAATAGCACATCCCTTTTTTCTACTTGTAAAGAAGATATAGCATACGATAACCAAGTACGTATAAAAGTATGAAATCTATCAGGAAACATATAAAAACGTGGTTATTAATTGGATAATATGAAGACAATCGGCCTGATTGATAACAAAATTTGAAAATATCCCTAGAACTTGCAACGGAGTTTTGACCTAGTAAACTGTAGAATTTGGAGCTTGTAGCTTTTAAACTTGAGTTTTGTTGCTTAACAATGTGCAAAACTTAAAACTGTTTTGACCTAATAAACACTAGAATTTGGAGTTTGGGGCATAAATTTGCAAAACTAGAATTTGTTGTTTCTAGGGTTTACGTCTGTCAGACTAGTATTCCAATCCATTCTGTCATCTATGTATGCATCAATTTGAGAACAATATATTTGCAATGTCATCGTTTATTTGTGAGCTACAAATGTATTTACCAAGGGCAATGCTAGGGAGACTAAATTTGCAAACTAAATTAATATGTCACCAATAGAAATGAGTACGTTTATCAACGTTTAAGTAATAATCCAATCATCAACTTCCATGTCATATAGTTTATAAAAAAAATTCTACAAATTTAGTCTTCCTAGCATCACTCATTTGCCAAAGATGATGTGATCGAGCTGATTTACGTATTATTTTACATAAATGATAGCAAGGGAGGGTGAATCGAACCTAAAACCTACTGGACCTAACAGCCCCCTGCAAATTCTTATTAAACTTGTTAATCTATTTTACGTTAAGTATTAGACTCGATCGCGGGTTAACGTTGTTAGATTAATTTTATACATATTTAAGATCGCATGCATACTTTAAACATAAGAAGCTGTATATACATGTAGTTGTAGTTTAAGGTTGGAGTCTGCAGAAAGATTCGTGGGAGAGATGATCCCAATTGCAGAACACGTTGAAAACATGCATGAAACATCGATGATGCCAAATTTGCCATGCGATGCCAAGCCGCCCTCCCTCGCAGGACAGAATTAACATTGTGATTATCGATCCTCCTTAATAACAGGTAGTCGGTGTTATCGACTAAAGCCAAACTAATCTCTCCGTAAAACTCGTAACATCTTACAAGTTTATTTTTTAATCACCTACTTATATATATGTAATGTGGCCATTCAGAACTAATCTCTTATTAGACAAATATTAGTTTCTTTTTATTTTTTTTATTTTTAATTTGTTCTAGAATTAGCTCGAAGAAAAAGAATGGCTCAACTTTTCTCCAGTTTTCATGTTTTAGCTGATACGAATGGCGTCGTTAAACTCAGCTTTCAGCAGGTTTCACTCCTTATACTCTCTCTCTCTCTCTCTACTTATCTCTTTCTGGTTTTGTTTAATTAATCAGCTCCTCCTCTAATCATAGATTAATTATATAGCAGACGAAAGGAGTGCCTTTGTTCATGAATGCACAATGCAGTTTAATTTGTTAATTATTGTTCTGCAATTTTCTTCATATTGATTTGTTTTCGGTTTTCGTTTTTAGTTTTTCCTTGCATGAATTTTTTAAATTAACCGTACCACTTTCAATATAGGTAGGCGGCAAACGTGGTGTACCTACTTCGTCTTATTTGCCTAACCGCAGTGTTCTTCGAATTCGCTCATGCAAAACCAATTCTTATTCAGGTATGGCTTGAAGGTCCTAATCATTTTCATATAATATGCAGTGTACATATATATATTTGTATAGTGTACGTATATATAGATCTATATATGCACCACTCCTGCATTCACGCACATTTTGCATATTTTGAAACTGATTATATATATATATATATAATATATATATATATATATGTTTAAAAACTTCATGCAGGACTAGTAGATGCAACAGCTCACCCTTCTCTTTCGTTTTCTTTACACAACTGTATAAATTCTAATTTAAAATCTTTCTCCATTAAGGTTCAAGTTTATTGACAACTACATAAGTCAAATATCAACAACCCTACGGTACATGTATCACAATATCAATAACATCAACCTACTTTTAAAGTACAAACTTAACTACAAGTTCAAAACACCCCATTTTAACTTTGTGTTACAAGTAAGATGGTAACTGGTAGTTGCCAAACATTTTTAATTAAATCGCACTTTAGGCAATAAATGGTGACTTCTAAAATTGAAAATTATTATACAATAAGTTGAATATTATTGTTACGTAAAATAATATCAGTTCACAAGTTCAAAATAGATAGATAATAAATTTATGGGTAAATTATAATCTGCACTGTTAAATTTGAGTTCAACAACAACTCAATATGTTATTTATAAAACATTATAATATCATAGGTTAAAAAAATCATCAATTTAACAGTTAATTAATGATTTTACAAGTGTAGCTCCCACTAATTTGTTGGCATGATCGTCAAATTTATGTCACGTGTCAATAAAAATTATAAAAAGGTTCAATTATTCAAGGAAAGTGAGTGAAAAATAGCATGTATGTACACCAACCAATATTAGTACAAAAAAATGCTATCGTGTATCTTCCAAAAAAAAAAAAAATATTAGTACAAATAATTCAGATAGAAAAAAAAATTATGTGGCCCAAAAAACACAACAAAAATTAAAAGCCGAGGACAGCACAAAGCTAACTAATTTTCGAATATTCGAGTATAATTTTTACTGTCTGCAACAAAAACACAGAGAGCCGCCCGCCATAGAAGAAAGAGAACCAAAAATTGCAGAGCAGTAAATAGCTTACTTCGTCAAACTTAATAAAAAAACCACCTAACCAAGCTCTCTCCCAACTCACAGGACAAAGCGTGGCACACCTTCCCCTTGTATAAAACCCCACCAAACCACAACCCATAAAACACCGAACTCCATATCACCACACACTCACTTCTCACTCCTCATCTTTTCATAAAAACAGAGTGGTCTTGTTAGATTCTCTCAAGCTTTTTTTATAGCTTGGAGGAAGAAATCGTGTTGGATTTCTGGGTTTTTTGGGAGATTTGGTGTTTGAATCTTTGAGAAAAGAGTGATGGCTGGGAGTGGATTGTTCGCAGAGATTCTTGATGGAGAAGCATACAAGTATTATGGTGATGGGGAGTGGAAGAAATCATCTTCTGGTAAACTTGTTCCCATCATCAACCCTACCACAAGAAAGGTTCAGTACAAGGTTCAAGGTAATGGTCATCTTCTTTCATGGTTTTCAATTGGGTAGAGGTTTTTTCGCGCTTTAATTTTAGTTATATGCACTTCAAACTGAATGTTTTACAATTTTATGTGCGCTTCAAATTGAATATTTTACAATTTTCTCTGTATATGCGCGAGTGTGATGTTAACGACTGCCCTTTGTTCGGCTGTGGCAGCTTGTACACAGGAAGAGGTGAACAAGGTCA